TTTCTTTCTTTCTTTCTTTCTTTCTTTCTTTCTTTCTTTCTTTCTTTCTTTCTTTCTTTCTGTTTTTCAAGACAGGGTTTCTCAGTAGCTATAGAGTCTGCCCTGGAACTCACTCTGTAGACTAGTCTGTTCTTGAATTTAGAGATCTGCCTGCCTCTGCCTCCTCAGTGCTGGTATTAAAGGTGTGCACCACCACTGCCCAGCTCTACAGTTTATTTCTTAAAAAGAAATTTTCTAGGTGTTAAGTGCCTTAGTATTTCAGACTGGAATGAAAACAAAATTCCTCGAGTTTTTTTTTTTCAATAATATCTTTTTGAAAAACACACAGTAGGGTATGTGGTGGCATAGGCTTTTAACCTCGGCGCTCTGGAGGCAGAGGTAGGCAAATATCAGTGAGTTAGAGGCCAGCCTGGTCTACAAAGTGAGCCCCAGGCTAGCCAGAGCTATATAGTGAGAACATGTTAAAACACAAAGGCATTTATTATAAATGAAGAGCTAAAAATGAAATAAAAGGGAGAGACAAAAAAGCAGTTTCTTTTAGATGTAAAGGATAAATTAGTGAATGGAACATCTGCTGGCCTTTCTTTATGCTAATAACAGAATTGATGTTATTAGAATTCAATATACTAGAATCGGTTATGGATTAATAAATTTCTAGGATGTAGATGCATCAAAACTTTGTAAGACATGATCTAATGTCTGCCTAGAAAGGCCTAGTAGAGGTATATGTGAAGGATAACATTCACAAAACATGGTAAGATATGGTCTTCCCTAAGCCCAGTTTATACAGTCTGCCCCTAAATATAGTTTATCAGAATAAAAGAATGTATTCAGGAATATTTGGGAGGTAAGCATTGTAGGAATTGTTTAGGTTTTGGTTTCATTTGCTATTACTATATATAGTATTGTTGAATAACTTGATATAAGTTAACAAATATAAATTATCTGCAGAAAGTTAGACTATCTTCAGCCGCAAGAGAAAAGCTAAGATGGGTTACTGGAACATGTTATCCAAATAATAAGATTGAAGTTGAGAAAAACAATTATTTTTGCTACCTCTTTCTTTACTTGAAATAAAGTATTTTTTAAAAATTAAAAAAAACAGTAACATCAACAACCAATTAATTAATTAAATAAAATATAAATAAATAAAAATAGAAAAGGGAAAACAGTATTTGCATAGTTACAGCCAAGTTGTAAGTTACAGTTACTTTCTAAAAAGGAAATACTTTTTTCCTGCACATTTTCCTACCTATTTCTAGGAGATTTGCAATATGACACATATGTTACTGAAATCATAACAGCAAGTATACATTAGTTAGAATACATATAAAATGACTGGTAAATGGGGTTAATTGATTTTTCCTTCTTGTAATCTTTTGTTATCTTCTTTGTTTGTTTGTTTTGGACATGATCTAAGAAAAAGAAACTACCACTTATACCAGTGTCAACATTTTGTTAACCCATAAAGAATTTTACCTGTTGCCTTGCTATGTAGGCCACATTGTCTTTGAACTTAACTTGTAACACAGGCTGGCCTCATGAACTTTTTGCTTTTATCTCTCAGATTCTAATGTTAGTTGTTTTAAAAAGTACTAATTATTAAGAATGTGTATTTTATTTGAAACTATGATTGTCATAGTAGAAAATATATTAAAGAACCATTGTGTGCTAAATGAGTGGCAAGGTTTCGCTAACCTCTACTCTGTCCTGTGAGTGGAGCTTGATAGTAACCTTTGTTACAAGTGTGAAAAGAAAAAAAAAGAAAAAAAATTAAAAAAATAAAAAGAAACATTGTATCATTTGAACATTGTGTGTAATGTCTTCACTTCTACCTTTTGCTCATTTTTTTTTCTTATAGGTGACACTTCATCTGAGGCAGCATCTGGACCAGTTCTACATTCAGATACTTCAAGTCTTCCCACTGTAGCCTATTCTTCAAACCAGACAACTAACTCTCAGGTAGTTTCTAGTATCCTTCAGACTGACATAAGTGTTCAAGGGCAAATCTATTCTTCTCACCAAGTAGTAGGACATTGACAGCAAGTTTCAGGAATGAGGGAATTACTACTCTATTTTACATATTGGAGAGTTTATCTGTTTTCTTCTATTTACCAGTTGCAAGAGCAGCCAAAACTGACTGAGTCTCCAGTTTTGCCTGTGGTACAAGGTCAGTCTTCTGTTATGCCCATTTATGCCGTTGGACATGCAGTTGTTTCACAGGCTCAAGTTTCTCCATTAACTATCCAGAAGGTCTCACAGATAAAGGTAAGATGCATTTTTTTTGTTTGTTTCTTGAGACAGTGTTTTAATGTACAGCCCTGTCTGTCCTGGAACACATGTTGTAGACCAGGCTGACCTTGACCTCAGAAATTCACCTGCCTAAGCCTCCCAAGTGATGGGATTAAAAGTATATACCACTACCACCTGGCAAGTGAGACACATTTTAAAAAATATTTTTTAATTTAAGATATAAAATTTTAATTTAGCTTTATTTGTGTTTTCCTTACATGTAAATATGTGTATCATGTGTATTCCTGGTTCTTGTATGTGTGTGTTCCTAAATACATAAATACAGCCTACTCAGTCCATATAATGTTACGTGTATGTATATGTTTTCAGGACTGACTATTGGTATTAGGAAAGCTCATCTTGAGTGAAGACAGTTTTGCCCATTCTCAGATTCTGTAGTTGCCTGTGGTGGTTTGTCTAGCGTTGAAGCCTCACGATCTTTTCTCCTTTGGCATGTCTGTTGTTGTTATCCTTGTTCAGTTCATGTTTAGTCGTTCATATTAGTCTTTAATTGTGTAGTATCTGACATTACTAGGAGACACAATCTCATAGCAAACTCCCTGATCCTCTGGCTGTTATAGTCTCTTTGCCCCTCTTCTGCTATGACCCCTGAGCCTATGTATGACAGTTTTGTTGTAGATGTATTAGTTATGACTAGGATCCAAAACTCTGCATTTTGATTGCTAGTTGACTAAGTTTTCACTACCAGGCGTGGTTTTCATCTGGCACAGTAGACCTTAATTCCAACTAAAGAGTTGTTGCTTATCACCAAATATACACATCACTACTGCACCCTTAAGAATATCATATCTTGTGGGGGGTGGGGGACAGAAAAAAAAAAGAATATCATATCTTGCTGGTTCTTGTAGTTCACAGGTGTTATCATAGCCAGGTAGAACTGTTGGCTGCTTCCTCCATAGAAGCCTGCATGGTACCTCCACTATGAAAGCTAGTCCTCAGGAAGAAGACTTTCATATTAATTCCAACATGGGGGCCTCTGTGTCCGTGCCTGGTATTTTCAGCAGTAGGGACTTCCATCTTTGGGGCAACTAAACGCAACAACAATAGCATGTAATGTTTTAGTAGTCTCATGGACAACTCTGACCAACAATTCAAAAGTGGCTTTCTCATATCTGGTGTTGGAGTTTTTATTAGATAGTTTATGGCTCTTGCAAGGGAGCATTGTCAGTTCAAATGAGAAAATTACATATACACACTGGTATTATAGCTATTTTTAGGTAGATCATTGACAGTATAAATCCTAATGACTTTTTAAGACATCCTTACTGGTATTTATCCTCTTTCCCCCTTCCCATATTTTTCTCCGTCCTTTTTACTAATAAAGTTCCCCCTTTCTCATTTTCCCCTTCAGATCACTTGTATCCAATTACTCCCTTCTCTTAATGCTCCTAACCTGCTCATGACACACATACAAGGCACTTCTTTATACTTTCCTATCTTCTGCAGTTAACTCCAGGTTATATTCTCACATCTAGGAATTAGGAGCTGGGAACCTCAAATGAGAAGAGTACGTGTGATGTTTATCTTTCTGGGTCTGAATTACCTTACTCTTTCCTAGTTTTCATCCATTTACTTTCAAACTCATGATTTCATGTTTCTTTACAGTTAAATAGTTCCATAGTACATATGAACTACATTTTCATTATCCCCTCATCAGGTGAAGAACACTTAGGTTGTTTCCGTTTTTTAGCTACTGTCAATAGAACATCAGTGAACATAGCTGAGAAAGTTGTCTGTGAACTAACATTGAGTCATTTGGGTATATGCCAAGGGCTGTATAGCTGGATCATATAGTAGATTTATTTTTAGCTTTTTGAGGATTTTTCACATTGATTCCCAGAGTGATTGGACTAGTTTACAGTCCTATCAATAGCGAATAAATGTTTCCTTCTTCCTACATGTTCTCTAACATTTGTTGTTGGTTGTTTTGTTGACGTTTGCTGGAACTGGAATAAGATGAAATCTCAAAGTTGTTTTGATTTGCATTTCTCTAATTTCTAGGGTCCATAAGCATCTTTAAAAAAATTATTTAACTTTATTTTATGTGCATTGGTATGAGGATGTTGAATCCCCTAGAACTAGAGTTAAAGACAATTGTGAGCTGCCGTTTGGGTGCTGGGAATTAAACTCAAGTAGTCTGAAAGAACAATCAGTGTTCTTAACCACTGAGCCAGCTTACCAGCCCTGTTCATAAGCACTTTAAAAGATATTTCTTAGCCATTTTTATTTCTTCTTTTGAGAATTCTGTTTAGGTTTTAAGCCCATTCTTTTAATAAGTCAGTTTTTCTTTTACAGGTTGACATCCAGTTATGCCAGCACCATTTGTTAAAGATGCTTTCCTTCTTCCATTGTTTACCTTTAGCTCCCTTGTCGAAATTAGGTGTTCATAAGTTTGTGGGTTAATATCTGGGTCTTCTATTCGATTCCATAGGTCGACTTCTCTGTTCTTATGCCAATACCAAGCTGTTTTCAATACTGTAGCTCTATAATAGAGTTTGAAGTCAGGGATGGTAATGCCTCCAGAAGTTCTTTTATTGTATAAGATTGTTTTGGCTATCCTGGGTTTTTTGTTTTGCCATATAAACTTGATTAATGTTCTCTCAAGGTCTGTGAAGAAGTTTGATGGGATTTTGATGGGGATTGCATTGAATCTGTAGATTGCTTTTGGTAGAATTGCCATTTTTACTATGTTGATTCTCCCAATCCAAGAGCAGGGGAGGTCTTTCCATTTTCTGGTATCCTCCTCAATTTCTCTTTTCAAAGGCTTAAAGTTCTTGTCAAATAGGTCTTTCACATCCTTGGTTAGAGTAACCCCAAGATATTTTATGGTGTTTGTGGCTATCGTGAAAGGTGATGTTTCTCTGATTTCCCTCTCCGTTTCTTTATCCTTTGTGTATAGGATTGCCACTGATTTTTTGGAGTTGATCTTGTATCCTGCCACGTTACTAAAGGTGTTTATCAGCTGTAGGAGTTCTTTGGTAGAGTTTTTGGGGTCGCTTATGTACACTATCATATCGTCAGCAAATAACGAAAGTTTAACTTCATCCTTTCCAATTCGAATCCCCTTGATCCCCTTATGTTGTCTTATTGCTATTGCTAGAACTTCAAGCACTATATTGAAGAGGTATGGAGAGAGTGGACAGCCTTGTCGTGTTCCTGATTTTAGTGGAAAGGCTTTGAGTTTCTCTCCATTCAATTTGATGTTAGCTGTCGGCTTGCTGTATATTGCTTTTATTATATTTAGGTATGATCCTTGTATCCCCAGTCTCTCCAACACCTTTATCATAAATGGGTGTTGAATTTTGTCAAACGCTTTTTCAGCATCCAATGAAATGATCATATGATTTTTTTCTTTCAGTTTATTTATATGATGGATTACATTGATAGATTTGCGTATGTTGAACCATCCCTGCATCTCTGGGATGAAGCCTACTTGGTCATAATGGATGATTTTTCTAATGTGTTCTTGGATTCGGTTTGCCAGTATTTTATTGAGAATTTTCGCATCGATGTTCATGAGTGAGATTGGCCTGTAATTCTCTTTCTTGGTTGTGTCTTTGTGTGGTTTTGGTATTAGGGTGACTGCAGCTTCATAAAAGGAGTTTGGCAGTGACTTTTCTTTTTCTATATTGTGGAATACATTAAGGAGTATAGGTATTAGCTCTTCCTGGAAGTTCTGGTAGAATTCTGCATTGAAACCATCTGGTCCTGGGCTTTTTTTGGTAGGGAGATTTTTGATAACAGCTTCTAGTTCTTCACGACTAACAGGTCTATTTAGATTGTTCACCTGGTCTTGGTTCAACTTTGGTATATGGTACTTATCTAAAAAAAATGTCCATTTCTTTTACATTTTCCAACTTTGTGGCATATAAACTTTTGTAGTAAGATCTAATGATTTTTCTTCTTTTTTTTGTGGTGATAGGGATTGAACATAGGGTGATAGGTGATCTATCACTGAGCTATCTTTTCAGCACCCCCATTCTAAAAGCATTATAGTTAATTCCCTCATATCAGTCATAGGAGTTGTTAAGAAGAGCCTTTCCTCCGGTCAAATCAAAGAACTCCAATCAAATAAAATTAGATCAAATCAAAAATGCCCACATTTAATAAATGCCATGATCCTGGGTGGACCAGGACAGCATGGCAGAGAGAGGAGCTCATGCAACTCCCAGAGACCACATGTTCCTTTTTCCAGCACCAACCTAAATAGCTTGTGGGAGGCGTCAGCACTTGACAAGCTGGGAGTTGGAGTCAGGAAGTGGAGTCTAGCCCAAGGCAACTCCCAGGGGGAAGAGACTTGAGTTGGAGTGTTCTGCTTCATTGGAACCTCTAGGATGAATGCCAGGGACTGGGGTGATGCTTCCAATTATCCCAGACTCCTTGGATATATGGGTGTCAGGGGGCTGGGGTCGCACTTTCAACCAAACATCCCAGAGTCCTTGGATATAGGGGCATCGGTTCAAGTCTGGTTACATCCTGTGGACATAGGGTGGCATGGGAGAGGAAAGAGCTGGGAGTTGGTGCACTCCCGCTCAGCAAGAGGTGTGAATGGAGCAGTATCTGGTTTGCTGTCATTCTGGAGTCCTCAGGCAGCTGCTTTTTTGAAAAAGATGAGAAGACAGGTGGCTAGGAGAAAAAATATTATTATTGGCCATGTGAAATGGGGATAGCCATGGGATGGGACACAATAGCAGATAAAACCAGATTTTAGTTGGCAAGTGTCATTTATCCAGAATAGTTGGTACCAATGCTAAAGTCCCAGGAGGTGGTGTTGATGTTGGCATTGTCTGGAGAGCTGGAGAGCGCTTTGTGAGTTGATCTTGGCCCAGACAGCAGGAGTGACCTGTAAAATATGCTTAAAAATGGCTGGGGTTAGTGTAGCAGAACTTTTTCCTGGAACCTATAAGAGAACTGGAACATATTTACATCTTGGTGTCATAAAACAACTAAAGGAA